CTTTGTCACCCACCTTCAACGCAGCAATGGGGAAAACTGGATCCTCAATCTGGATCAATCCTCAATTAAACTGAATCTTGATCCTTACTCCTTGTATCACGTGCCCAACGCTCATGCGCACCCAAAACTCGCGTACCTTTTCCTTTTCTCCCCCAAAAAAGACAGCTTCGAAAATCTGACAAGATGGAAAGCTGGAACATTGCAGGGATTTTTTTTTTTTGTGCGAGTATGAGCTAAAGATATGGCAGATTCAGCTATCGCACACGCTTGCGTACGGTCACGTCAAAGTTTGCAGTTTGGCACAGCGGAAACTAGAAAACTGGCCTGAAACAGCAACTGTAATTTTGCCAGAGTGTTAATCATCCATCTGGGACTCATATACCAAAACCGAGCCTGGATTTGCAAAATCTAGTCACAGGACGCGTCAAAGGTATTTGTAGCGAAACGACTACCTCGCTTGAGGGGTAAGCTACGAGGCTGAAACTTTGCCAGGGTATTCTGCATTCATATTTGGTTTCAATCCAGCTTGAAGGAAATTCCTTGCTCGCAAACATCGCAGATTCTCAATTTATCTAATCTTCGAAAGCGTGGGCGTTTTGTTGACTAAGAATATGCCACAGCTGTCTGTTTATTTGCATATATTGCCTAGCTGCGGTGGGAAGTGTGGAGGACGGAGTGTAGGTATACAAAATCCACTACTAAGGCACAAAATTTGTGACAGACAGAATTAGAATGTGATAGTCATGCAGATGTGGAGAAATTGAAGGGAGTGGCACTGCTTTAGTACTGTTTTTTCAAAACTGACATTACCGACGCGGTTTATATTTTGATTCGAAAATGATTTAAAGCGCCAGGAATTGCAAAAAAAGGCTAGCACTTCATATTGTTGGCTTATTCCAGTCGAATGAGGAAGTGGAAATGATTAAGAGAAAACGAGAGAAGAAATCTGCGAAAGTTGAAGAAAAGCGAGGCGAGGTATAATTATTTGATTAAATTTTTGCCGCATCCTTCAATTTTTGCTATTTTTGGTGCACTGAATTATATATACAGGCCATTCACATTTTCCAACATTTCGTTTATTTGAATTTTTCATGAATACCGATGGAGTGAAAAGTGCAGGGTGTGCGTCTTCCCATGTCGTCGTTCTTCGATGCGAATAGAAAAAAATTTTTGGAAACTTTTAAGCATACTTTTTCATTTGCTAATTGAAGCATACTACTCGTCAAGCTAAACTTTCCACTTCTTTGAACTTTTCACTCTCCCAACCCTAAATCTCACATACGAATGTCTTAAAAATATGCATTTTTTTGGCGGGAACCCGTAAATCTAGGAAGCTAGAACTGTGCAAAGATAATCTCTGTCTGTGTACGAGCTAACGATTTTAAATTCAACTGTCGTAACAAGTAACGACAATTTTTCATAGATTTGCACCGCCCAAACTCGAAAACAATGGAAAAACAGTTGCTGTAATTTCGCCAAATTATCGTACATTTGGGAAATTTTGGGAGCATATTCCTATCCCATATGTCACCCACCCGTTTTAAAATCGATTTACAATGCGCCATGGTTTAGGGACGTCAGAGTTGTTGGTAGCGAACTAGTGATTTCACTTATCAGATGAGCTATGAAACTGAAACTTTGCGTGGATTCTCTCTTTTAACGTTTTATCTAAGTTCACCTTGGAGGCGAAATTTCCTGCACACTGGCATGACAGTACTTTGTTTTATCTCAATAAATGAGTGCATTTTGCTGATTTCGGCGTCCTTCTTTACCTTTTCATTGCCAAAGTTATACTTTTTTTCACCTTAGTAGTGATCTGGAAGTATATCACGCAGTGAACCGACCGCTGGTCGAAATGTCACAAAACATTTGGTTTGGCTTGCTGTTTTTTTCTTTCACACTTATACAGCACTTTTGCAGTTTCTTAAACAGTCCAAGCGTCCTAAAGACCACAAAGCTATGCTACGAAAGTTACAACAAAGTGTCACTGATGGCGACAGCGAGGTGGGGGCAAGCAAAGCTAAAAGGTCGAGACAGGACGAGGTATCCCCTTTTCTTT